TTACCAGGCGCTCTCTGATAAATTTGCGCTTCCGACGTAGGCGAACGCAGCTTTTGACTTGTCTGAATCAGAGTGACGGACAAGCATGAGCTTGCTATGAATAAGAAGGCCTGATCTGACGCTTTTGCAATCACGAATCAGTTCACGAGGAAACGTTGCCGAATCCCACCATTTGGAATGAACACAGATGGTGCCTGCAGCCTGGAGGATCATTAGTTAGTGTTGCGTTCTAGAAGCTCTTGAGTTCTAGTCAAAAACTTATACTTACGTCCTTGCCGCCCCGACTTTGCACCACAGTTTCGCGAGAGGGGAAGTATATTCGAAACTTATTCTTTAAGTCTGACTTAGCTTGCATCAGGGCTTTATCTTTTCTGCCTTTGGCATTTCTTATCCCGTATTCTTTTATCCCATCATCGCCTATCTCGTCAGTAATAAGACAAAATGCAAAAAGAGGGAAAGTGGGGACATAGCGAGGGCGCGGCCTTACCTTGGGCAGAATAGTATATTGCCGATAGTAAATCCATGTTTAGGGATCCGAGCGACGAGGCTAGAAAGTCGATTTCGACGTCTCCAGTGGTGTTGAGACCAAGCGATGTTACGGCTCGACCAAGCCCGCAATATCCTATAAAGAAGTTAACATAAAGATATCTGAATTTTTATAGAAAGAGACTACCTGTTCGCTTCCACTTATCATCCACATGCGACCCTCCGCTGCCTTGAGTTAGTCGTACAGGTCGTGTATGGCAAGATAAGGTGGCTTTATTGAGTTCTCACATTGTGTGGACGAATCTGTAACGATCCGCTTCTGAAAAGTCGTAGTTCTTCAGACTGCCCACTAAGCTCTCTTCTAAGCCCTGAGCTCGAAGAAAATAGCAGAGCTCTTCACCAAATGAGCCAAGCTTATTGGACGGCTCTGATCCGGGATTTCCTAGTCGAGGAAGATCGATAAGAAAGACTATGTTCTCGATAACCCCTGTCTCACCCCACTACATGTTTGTATTCGTCAACGATACAACGTGCTACCGGGAGAATTAGGATCAACTCACGTCATAGGGGACCAAATTACCGCTTGGCACGACCACTCGCAAGTATCTAGGATACTTTAACAACTGCAGCTTTGAGTGCATGTTTCCCGTTGGCATCATGGGCGGGAAACAGAATTTGATGGCCGACCCAGAGGGTGTGTTGGCCTTCATTTCCTCTTGCTACAGCATTATAACAACCCATTAGTTTAGCCTTCCGAAATTAAAAAGATAGATCAACAAATCTGGAACCATACCTGCGCTTCGTTTGAAGCAAAAGCAATGCAGACGATCTTGGTCTTTCTGTAGTCGATTTTTGATAACATCCACTGCTCATCCCACTGAAACGAGCTGATCACAGCGAGTTCAAGTTCGTCTTTTTGTATAACTTCATCGATTTTGATATCGTCTTTGCGAGGAAAGCCCTTCGCCCACGTCTTCTTCACGACGCCCTTTGGATATGGAAGATGAAGTTCGCTCTTATTGGCAGGGTTAACTGTAACTGTGGATTCTGTATCCAGTTTTTGCCTTTGCCTGCGACTCTGAGACTCGGGCTCTGAATTAGGGGCTTTTCGCTTCCCTAACCTCGCTAATCGTTCTTCTTCCATCTTCTTCCTATCCAACCCTAGAGCTGTAAAGCCACTTGGAGTCTTGGAGGTAGATTGCTGAGTGAGTGATGCTATTTCAGGTAATGAGACAGCTTGTGATTCGTGATGTCTATGTTGATTCTCAATGTCCTTTGTCACAGGAGGGTATTTTGGTCCTTTATCAAGATCATCATCATCCCCGTCGGACTCGATTTCAATGGGGGTTTTAGACGAGGAATTACCGGCATCTTGCAACGATAAAGCTATGGCGTAGCGCAAAGCGGCATCCTCATCGCCTCCAAAAGCATCAAGTCCGTCCATTTTAAGAGATAAGAAACATTCCAATGACGATAGCAAGACGAATTCATTATATGGGGTAATGGAAGCTTTGCTAGGAACCGCGTTGGAAGCGTTAACGTTGACGAGGAATCAAACGCGCTAGAAACGTTAGCTAAACGCGAAAGCACGCGCACTGAGTTATCGGAAAATGACATCACTTCAAAGATCAATTGCTCGATAAGCCCACCTAAATACGCAGGTACTTGGGTACATCCTTTGATAGCATCGATTATTAATAGGACGTCAAAATAAGAGTAGAATAATAACCCTAATTTTCACTGAGTCTTCAGTTTAAAACTTGATATCTTGAAGTTGAGCATGGGCGTTACTCTAGTATTAGAAAGCAAACAGACAGACTTTGAAGGCTACACTAGGTATATACGATCACGAATGGAACATAAATATCTGACGATATATTGCGACCAAGAAGGTCTGTTATATTAAATAGCCCAAAGTCTTTCCCTTATGGAGTAAGCTGCAAGACTGGCTATTGGATATATCATCAGAAATTTTTTTTATGAGTTTTCCGTTTTTTTCCCCTGTGTAATCCTGTGCCGGCGCATCGCTACGGATGCCCGGACAACATTCCTAAGTTTAACCTCTAGAAGCTGCTGCCGTTTCGAATCATCATCTCGTAAGTGATGACGAGATAACAAACCGTCCGAAGTTGAGCATTCCTTCGTACCGAGTTTCCATACTACCTCCGTGCACCGGATCTGATCCCCATCCGTCTAGAATCTGAACCCAAGATCTGACGCCAATTCCGATGAGTAGGGCGAGTCCCGAGACTCCAACCCACCAACAAGGACAGGTTTCCGAAAGTTCAAGACATAAATCGCCGATGCACCAGCTATTATCTCAGGCTATACCGAGCCCTCCTCAGGCCTCATATGCCGTAATACATTGTTGATTGATGAAAGTGATAGAAAATAAAAGTGAACAGGGAAGAAAAAAAGCCTGATAATGTACTTCCCTAGACCGTCTTCCTGTATGAAGTCTAGATGTCGGAAATACACGACCATGACTATCCCTATGTACCTTAGCTGGGTTGACACCGCCTTCCTTAACAAAAAAAAAAGGGAAAAGAATATGTGATGATGAGTGATTGTAAAACATAGAAATAAAGAAAGATAATGTGAAGAATGACCATGGCCAAATTGATGCTGGCGAAGATCCAGTATCCGTTTACCAACGCCTATAACACCGGTTCGAGAGTCTCAGCCTACAAGCTTACAGAGGAAAGTAAAGTCGGTTAATGTAACGATAGGGCATGGCTCGAATTAAGTTTGAGTATCCGACGCAGTTCATCTTCCATTGTAGTAACCTCGTCGGATCGGTATGATGTGAGTTGCGCGTCTACAGGCGGAGCTGTGGGTTGCCCGTTCTGCGCGCTAGCCGTCAAAACTGACATGGGAAACATGCCGCGAGGTAAATGACGTGGTGGAGATTGTGGAGATTGGCCCCGAGAAGGCCGCATTCGTTCAGAAGGCTTGCGGTGTTGCGGAGAATGATGCTGATCAACTTGATTTGGTGGGCCTGATAGTTGCTGTGATTGTTCCTCGTTACCATCTAACCGACCCGTAAAGAGATAACGCTTGAGATCATCGTAATGATTAATGTCCTGGCTTTGAAGCACTTTGTTGGTAGACCGTGCAGAGAATTGGTTTGATCGAGCAGCTCGCATGCGCTCCTGGTAGGGGGTGGAAAAGGCTGGCCCGACTGGTTCGCCGGGATTTCCATCTAGCTCGTCTGCAGAAATACCCAAGACGGTAGCACGCTTTTGATAATTAGGGCGGCGCGTCTGGTTAGGTGTCGTCCCTAAGGGGTACGTATGAAATCCTTTTGGAGACTGGTGAGATGGTGAGATCGAACCCATATTGATCGCAGCAGCGTGAAAAGAACTAGCTCGGCGTGCTCTAGCTTTCTCTCTCTCGGCTCGGTCAGCACGAAAGAAGAGCTCCAAGGGCGACTCGGTGGCCCGCGTGATCGGACTAGGAGAGCTGGCCTCGTCCGAATCGGACGTCGTGCATGAAAGTTCTTGCTCCGGACTCGAAGCAGCTTTCATCCCTGGGGAATCGGGCTCTGTCCTATTGAGGAAGCTCGGGATTGGCAACGCTGACGGCGCAGGCGAGGCATGAAATGTGGAGCCCGCGAATATAGGAGCCGAGGGGCTCGGACGATCTGCGTTGTTTCGGCCCGGCGAAACAGCTCCATCGTTCGTGTTTGGCTGTTTGTTGTTATTCTTCTTCTTCTTGCTGCGCTGTTTTTGACTTGTCGAACTGGCACGCAGCACCTCGACTGCTTCTGAGACGGGCGTGGTAGGGTTGCCATCGTGGCTGGATTTGTATCTGGGAACATCGTTCTCAGAAGCATAGGTCGTCTGTTTGGGGGTGTTGCGACTCCGACCGCCCTGACGGCGACGGTTAGGTGTCTGCTTTTGCTGTAGTCCTTCTTGCATGCTTCGAAGGCATGTATTTCGAAAAAGGAGTAGTGATGATGGTAGTATAAAGTTCCGAGAGACTCCAAAGGCGAGTTGGTTTACTTCGCGGGTTCCAGGAAATTAGAGTCAGTGCGACGACGTAATGCGGGGTGGAGACAACGAAGATGGGAAGCAAAGGGGAAGTGAAGTAATCTGTTTGGCTAGTTACTTCTTTCGCAATCTATTTAGATTAAACAGGAGGTCGGCGTATTGTTGACGAGAAAATTGTTCTTCTTGATGGAAAGTGTGACATCCGTAGGCTGTGGCTTGTGAGATTTTCAACGTTTCTGTACATATTTGTGTTTGATTGTTGATAGAGAGAGAGATTGGAATTGGATCGTCTTTTCGCAGGGAAAACACTTGAGTGACTGGTGGAGTCAGCGGCGGCGATCGCCATCCAGTTATAAAGCAGGAATCGGAGTTGGGTACGACATAACGTGACACATGATGTGGCTGTACACAGTATAGGTATTTTCGGCTGAAAACCTCATTACAGGGAGTTTTATTACGTGTATTATATAATCAAGAAGGTCCTGTTAGGCAGGCAGTCAGGCATTGTCTCCTCGGCTCGGTGATAAGTATACGTAGGTACCTAACCTTTAGGTACTGATGTAAGGACCTAGCATGACCATATTTTATTGGTAGGAGCCTAGCGCAATATCAATTGACCTTGTCGCTACTCCAACTCTAAAGTATCTATGTATTCCGTGGGTCATCGCGGTAGGTACATACCTAAGTAACTGGAGGGGCATTTGCACAGCTGCCGCTACCTCTTACCTGATGCGCATCCAGCTATCCCGCAATCCCGCAACCTTGAAGGCTCCAAGGACTTTCTACCTTCACTTTGCCTTGCAATCGCGCATTGAAGTAGGAACAACAACAAAACAAAGCCTTAGTCGTGTTTGTCGTTTTGCCTGCTTTACTTACTACAAAAAGCACTGGTAGATCCATAAGGCAACCTCAACTTTGGCATTTCTCCATATTCCAACGAACCCGCAATCTAACCCGATCTAATCCAATCAACGATACTACGTCTAGTTCTATTACGGTAACACACCTTCATATTACAACGGCTTCGGACTACTACAGACGTTATGGCTGATGTCGACATGACCGACGCACCCAGCACCTCAGCTGTCGTCAAGAAAGACCGCAAGGGCGGTGACGCTGACGGGAAGAATGACGGGAAGAAGCGCTTTGAGGTCAAAAAGGTAAGGAAGGATCCAGCTGGAATATTTTGATGGTGTACTTGGGCTAATGTCTGATATATCTAGTGGAATGCCGTGGCTCTCTGGGCCTGGGATATCGTCGTCGACAACTGCGCTATCTGTCGAAATCATATCATGGATTTGTGTATCGAATGTCAAGCAAACCAAGCTTCCGCCGCCAGTGAGGAGTGCACTGTAGCCTGGGGCATCTGTAACGTAAGTCATATTAACTAATACCCATCTCAGACCGTTAACTAACACTGTGCAGCATGCTTTCCACTTCCACTGCATCTCAAGATGGCTCAAGGCACGACAAGTCTGTCCATTGGATAACCGAGACTGGGAATTCCAAAAATACGGCCGCTAAGGAAGAGAATATTTTATCGAGGTCGATATCGCACGAGCAACACCGACCATCACATTCACCCAAGGTTGTAATATCACCGCCTAGAGATCACAATCACAAGACGACACCCATATCACATGTGAAAGATTCGGAACGGTACTGCGGAACAGATTGTATTACTCGGACTACGACGTCTATGTCGAGTAGGTTTCTGCCAAACGGCAGAAGTCCATAGCTAATACGCCTTCGAGGCGCAAATAAAACAACAGTTTATTTCGTGAAAAGTTTCTCATCAATAACTATGTTCTGCTGTGTATTCGTAATTGCCGGTTCGCCTCCGACAGGAAGCCATTTGACGGGGTGTCTATTAAAGAAGGGCCAGGGAGGGACAACGAGTAGGAAGGTAAGTGCTGTGCCAGCAAGGCCGATCTTGAGAGCTAGAGCTATGTCTTGGAGAAAGAAGCCGACGAGGAACGAAATTCCCTGATTGATAATAAAGGTTAGTAGACTGTTGCCAAAGGGAACGGGTAAGATAAAAAAGCAGATGGTTCGTACCCCGACAATCGAGAGGACAGCTGTCGCCAATATTTCAGCTAGCTTCTGACCTTCAAAGTCCTGCAGATAATAATTGGTCAATCATAACGTCTTGTGCTGAATTGATTGAAGAGTACCTAGGTAGGTAAAGTAGATAGTTACGAACAATTTGACCGTCAACTGCGTCTCTCACTTGATCCAGTAGTTGTTCCGCCATCTTCTGGTGTTGAGGGGCTTGCCGTTTAGGAGGTTAATAATGATTTGTATTAGCGGACGTTGACGTTATGGTGGATTACAAGCATTTAACCTAGGTACGTTGTCTAAGATGCTTACCTGGCAAGAAGTAACCTGGTGGTACCTAACCTTATACGTGACCTTATACGCGGGATCCAATCAGAAAATGGAGATAATACCTATATTTCTAGCCTCGATGCCCCGCTTTCCACAACCCAGTAAGCCACATTGAAATGGTATTAATGTATCCAAGTATTTTTTATATCTCTTTGGTTCTTTGACACAATTGAGTCTTTGTTAAACACTTCTTTGCTTCCCTTCCCCGTGGCTTTCCTGTACTGCATATTACCTATCTAGGTATATTCTAATATCTACATAACAACTGGTGCAAACATAGTATATATATCAACTAGTTGATTGAATTTGAAAATAAGCAATTCTTCTGTACGATATTATCCACCAACCGGAGCAGTATCTTCTAAGCCATGCCAATTTCACTGTTTAGACATTTTTCATCGCAGTGTTGGGAGTCAATTATCGACAGGAACTACCCAGAACGTACTGTATGCTTAAAACCTTTCAATGGAAAGAACCTATGTTGCAGTATGTAAGGCGGATATAAAATATAAAGAGCAAGTCAGGCCAACCTTAATATCGAAACCTGCCTTATATGGACCTGCCTTACCCGGACTGTAGTACATGTGGGTCGGCGGATCTGAAAAGTCGAGATTTCCTGCAGGAATTTTCGCCTCTTAACTTTGAACGTTAATCCCCCTCTGCATGACTGGCCCCGGCAATAATTTTTTTTAGGGCCCAAGCTCAGCTAATCATCTAAAATATCAGATGCTTTAAACTAACCTACCCCTTCGCTTTTGACGTCTTCTTTTAACACCAACAAAATTCTTCTCTCAAACAATAACCCCCATACATCTTGCAAATCATTTGCGTGTGTGGTCTACTCTTCTAGGGAATCACACTATTTCGTCAAGGTCTTCGTATCGTACGATCCCTTGATTCGGCTTTCAATCCAATCCCAGACTTACAGTATTTACCCCCATCCGCGACACCCTTTGTCGGTCCTGACATTGGTCACTTCCAAAGAGTACTTCACGTCTTTTCCCCCACGAACTCGTCGAGTCGCATAATAACAATCCGTCTACCTACCTTCCACTCGAATAAACACGTGCCAGCTGACAACCTACTCGACATTATCTAAACCAACCGAAATCAGATCCTTGAGGGGCTTTACGAGCTGCGCTATTTCTTTCATCACACCGAGCTCTCTCCTTTGCGGTAAATACCGCCACTTTCTCGGAAACCACCAAATTGGCGGGCCTCAGTTGTGACCAGTTCTCATTTTCTCGACCGCTTCTCGGCCCTGTTTGCTGGGTCTACAGCGGCGTCAACAAGAAGCCACCTTAACTTTACCGACGCGCCAGCTATTTTGACTTTAAACAGTCTACCCGCTCAACTCTTTGTTTATACGACTCGGTTACCCCCGGAACCTGGTTCAGGTATTCTCCGGCACTGGCTTGAACGTCACGCCAAAATCACTCTTGCAGTCGGCGTGCTGCCACGCCTACTGCAGATCACTGATGCTGCTAGGTTGAGTATGTCTGCCTTCCCTTGATCAGCACGTGGAAGGCTTTCCTCGACCGGTATTCAATATTCGGTCGAGTCAAGCTTATCGAATCGATATAGAACAGCCCTTTCATACCAGTAGCTTCAGGATCTCAAGTAAACTATAGAGGAATTGCGATAGTTTTACAACATGTCCGATCACGACGAAATTGCCTCTGGCTCGGGTTATAACACCCCCGTCCCAGAGCTTGATGACCACCGTCACCAGGTTTCATCCGCTCAGAAGCTTGAGCGCCCTCGCCGCGGCACCGTTGATACCCTATATGGCTCCCGCCAGCATCTGCAGCCGGCTGCTCCCTATTCGCCTTCCGATATTCGAGTACGAGATTTCGAAGAAGCAGTACTCGACGAAGATGATGAAGGCGTATCCCCGTTAACGTCACACAGCCGCAGGCCTACTTTTAATTCTACTAACGAGCAGCAGCGTGCTGTGTCTCCTCCGAACTCGGTCAAAGCATTCGCAGAAGCTCGCCGCCGCGAACGTGCCCTCTCTATCACAGATGTTCGCGCGCAAAAGCCTGAGGATGGTGAAGCTCTTCAGCGGACCTGTTCCTCTACCAGCCGCAACAGCCGTATAAGCCAACGCTCCGGCCGTAGCAGGCCTGGTACTTTTCTTGCCGACGACGGAGCAAGTTTAGCAACCAACAAAACTGCGGAGGACGATGTGTGCTTCCCCGTGCAAGAAGAGCATCGCCGCGACCAGCTACATATCGATTTCGACTACCTTGAAAATTTCATCGCATCCGAAAACGCTGCACGCAAGGAAAGTTTCGACGCCCAAGAGGCTGTTCGGGTATTCCCAAATCTAAGACAAAACTCGGTAACTCCTCCTCCGCCCATGATTACTGTCGACGGGGACTTCATCAATATTCCATCCTGTTCGTCGGATGTCGACCACGAGAAAATGCCACAGGCGCCCGAGATACAAGAAGCAGTGCCGAAGCCGATCGATAAAGAGCACCTGGACCCTAACCGCTTCAGCTTTTTCTCTTCTGCATGGGAATCTACTATCCATGCCGCCGAATTCGGAGACCTGGTCCTCCCAGGCGAGGATTTGCGTGGTCTCTTTACTCTGCCTCGGGACGAGCCGGATGGCGTATGGTGGTTAAACGTCAACAGGCCATCCGAAGAGGAGGTCCGGGCTCTATGCAAGGCCTTCGGGGTACATCCCCTAACGATTGAGGATATCACGACTCAAGAGCCCCGCGAGAAGATCGAAATTTTCCCATCGTATTATTTTGCCTCGTTCCGGTCTTTTAACGTCGTCCAAGACGATGACGGTCCCGACTACGAGCCGTATAATATTTATGTCGTGGTCTTCCGTGAAGGTACGCTTAGCTTCAGCTTTTTGCCAAATACCCACGCCTCTCTAGTCCGAAAGAGAATCTCAAGCCTGAAGGATTACGTTTCCTTGAGCAGTGATTGGATCTGCTACGCCCTGATGTAAGTACAAGCTATAACTCAAGATTCGCAAACATAGAAATGCAGAGAGGCTGACAGCATTTACAGTGATAACATCGTTGATTCATTCGCCCCTGCGATCGATAGGGTGGAGTCGCTCACCATGTCAATCGAAGACTCGATCTTTGTCGCCCGGCCAACTGACAACAATTTGTTCCTACGCAAGCTCGGCAACGTTCGCAAGAATACCCTAGCTCTCATGCGAGGACTCGGTGGCAAGGCCGACATCTTGAAGGGCTTCACCAAACGCTGTAATGAAGACTATAAAGTCACACCACGAATGGATATAGGCATGTACCTTGGCGACATCCAAGATCACGTCGTCACGATGATGACCAACCTCACCCATTTCGAGAAGATCCTATCCCGCGCTCACAGCAATTACATCGCCCAGTTAACCATGGATAGCATTACGCAAGGAACGGAGACTAATGCAGGACTAAGCAAAATCACGTTCTTGGCTACTATCATCGTGCCGCTCAACGTCGTTACAGGTCTATTCGGCATGAACGTCCACGTTCCTTTCCAAGATGACGAGAACATCACTGCCTTCCTCGTCATCTTAGGATGTCTTATATTCTTCTGTACAACGTGTCTAATCATCGCGCGCAGGATACGGCTTATCTAGAGGATTTAGCTAAGTGTGCGATACTAAGGCATATAACTGGCGGTAGAAGATAGACCTAGGTTTCCACCCATACTTCAACGTCATTATAGGCCGATAATCACTGCAGCTCTGGACACGAGAATGCCCAGTCAGCAACACCATCTAAAAAGAGAAGTATATATTAGAGGGTTCGACATGTTGGCCAACGGCCAACCAGCACCATCCAACAGCAGAGTTAAGATTTTTATTACCGCGAGGGTTACATACATACATCGAAATAGAGATCCATACGATAGAAACAATACTGGCAGCAGCAGAGGCGGACTTCGGTTGTGGTCATCTAGTGTCGACAAATCGAGAGCAAATCGAGAGGGACGAGGTGATTTTTGGTGTCGCAGCCTAGTGATCCACTAGGCCAATTCACCCGCGAAGCAGAATCCTTGAGATTCCATAAATATATGTACGTTATAGCATAATCGATACTCTCGCCCATGCCGTACTATAGCTTAGTTACTATTAATGCGAAGATTTTCTTACGCCATCTGTTGTGGCCTAGCTTGTGGCCACTCATTTTTCGTGCCTTTCAACAATAAGAGGCGATGCCTTGTCATGATGTGATCTACGATATGTCCATTCACGAGGTACGAGTCGCTCGGCAATAAACTGCCGGTAGCAACGTGTCATCATTACCTTGAACTATTAGACAGGGCAAGTTTATAGTGTTCAAGCTGCTATGCTATAAATTCATATTAGTAGACAGGACTAACAACGACAATACTGTCAAAGCTAACACTACCTGGATAATCAGCCAGTTAAATTGCTCAAGAAAGGAATTCCTATCAATGCAGACAAACCAACTTATATGTATGTGCTCATCACCTATATTAGTATATTTATGGGCTATTTTAAATCAGTACTCTTAGCCACTTTCTCCCATTCATCACAAATCTTCAACATATCCTCACACTTGGCCCTAATCTTCTCCCAGCCATCCGTTCCTAAAGGAACTCGAAGTGGTACAGTCTTTCCAGCTGCCACGCCAGTACCTTTTACCAAATCAATCATGATCGAAACTGCCTTAAACGGATCTCCCGGCTCGTTTCCAATTATGTTAGCTTCAGCAGCTCGCACGGCAGCATTGAAGCCAGCGTAGTCTTGTTGACGGGGGTCTACATTCCTTATGTTCTTGAAGGCGCTCGTGCGGAAGTAACCGGGCTCGACAATCAACAACTTCAATCCTGGGGCGAAAATGGCAAGTTCTTTAGCGAGACATTCGATCGCACCTCCAAGGGCAAATTTGGATGAGCAATATCCAGCAGCGCTGGGATCGGCATGCCACGCTGCTTGGGAGCTTATGTATAGAAGCGTGCCTGTTCCTCTGGCTCTCATTCGAGGCAGAAGTGCGCGAGTGATGTTCAGCGGACCGTGGAAATTAGTCTTGAAGACATTCTCCATATCTTCCTGTCTGCTTTCTGTCAGCGGGTCACAATGTATAATTAGTTCATTATACTAGCATCTATACCCACGTCAATTCTTCGATGGCGCCGCTTAGAATATAGCCGGCATTATTCACCACTACGTCGATACCGGATGGATACAAATTCCAGGCATCAGCCATCTTAGCTGCAATAACGTCTGGTGGCGCTGTCACGTCGAGGTCCAAGATTGTCGCTCCGGTATCTTTGAGGTGAGCGAGTCTTTTCTCGGCATCGCGACCAGTGGCAATGACATTGTCTCCTTGCTCGCAAAGTTGGCGCACAAATAGAGTACCGAAGCCGCTGGAGCAGCCGGTAATTAGCCAAGTCATAGGTACTTGGGCCATTGTGCCGTATGCCCTGACTGAGTAGTAATATTTTGTAGGGTGCTGAGAAGATTAATAGTCAAGATGACCTCTCAGGTTCTGTACTTAATAGTAGATAGACTCCCAGGAGAAACCAAGAGGGATAAGTCTGTTTATTTAATATGAATCTTAACTTTTTGCACTCTGAATGGCTATAGATTTTGTGACACTACCTAACCTAGGTAGGTAAGCACTATATTTAGAGAAAGGCGGCTATTGGACCTATCATTTGTCTCTAAGCGAAGCGGAGAATTTGAATCCAATGCGAGGCTACTATACTCACTATGTATATCATGTCTAGGAGAAGTACTCCTTTTGACTTGCATATTTATTCCTCCTTTATACTTTGTTGAGCCTGGAGGCGCGGAAGGTGTTTAAAATTAGTTCGAGAGAACTATAGTTGACTACGGGGGAAAGTTTATCTAAGGCCTCTATGAGTTGCATGCTTACGTCCTCACTGGTTAAGGTGTAAAACAAAAGCTCACTGGCTACGACCCTTATACGACCAGAGAGGAGGGGATCGGGATAGTAATGGTTGTATTGGAGGCATACGCTGTAGGAGGGAGTAATACTATAATTCTCGGGTGAAAGTATTAGAACAGAAGCAGCTGCCATTTGCTCGGCTTCTCGTTGCATGATTAGACATATTAGCTCCCTCTATAACCCCTAACGAGGCCAGGAAATAGTTGTCATAATGCCACGAGTTACGACGATGAGACGGCGACTATTGGTTTCAACTTCTTCTCTCTTATATAAACACTCATACATATTAAGCGGGTTTACTTAAAAAAAAACCTAATATAAGGACTACATAACTAGGCTAGGGGCCGCTAGAAGTAATTCGAACTGTAGGCTAATGTTAGAGTATAAGTGGGTTAGGAATATATTCAGGGGTAGGTCTACCAGGATTGGGTATATAAGAGGCGCGTAGTACCCTCAAAAGAGGATAGACGAACAGGCGTTAATAATTCAATTTAATTACTGATATTCATCTACTTCAAGTCAGGAGTTAATTCAGTTGGTCGGAATGGCTAAGGATAACAATCAGACTCAGGTAGAAAGACGCTTACTCGGATAATTATGCAATATATTCCTGCCGGTGGCCCATATACACGGCTTCATTATAGGGGCTCACCAATCAAGATGATCTACCCAGCAATAGACAGCAAAAAGCAACCAAAGTCATCATCAAGCTTAATAGCCGGCAAAGTGATACATGAGAATGAAACTCGCGTAGGCAATTGAAAACTTTGGGTAATCATTGAAACTAATCTGAGACTGGTATTCATCTCATCAAGACGTGGTTATTTAGTAGCTGTCATACACGTCCCTCACATCACGCAAGATTCCAACAACCCGCTAATCCCACCAACACCTCCAAAATAACCAAACCACACAAGACCTATTGCAGGCCAAGACTACGAAGTCGATCCGTAAATATGCTAAGTTGCATCTGATTCTCGCCGTCTACTCCCTCCGCCTTCTGAAGCTTCTCCGCCGCGGCTATCAAGGGTTCCACAAACCGTTGCCCCACCGCTGCCCCCATGCCGGCCGGCACGAGCTCCTTGAAGCCGGTAAATAGGAAGTAGGCGAAGTTCGCAACTTGTAGGAGAAATAGGTTATTTTGGGCCCAAAACTCAATTAGCGCGTCCGAGCTCGATTCGTTTAAGGACAGCATATCGGGGAATAAGAAATATTGTAGTCGTTCAATGACGTCAGGGGAAGAGAACTGATTGGATTGCTTGTTTTGCCTGGCGGCGATGAGTTCTTCTTTTAGCCATGTGATCGCGCATGCCTTGAGAGATGCAAACATGCAGTTCTCTAATAGATCCTCGAGGATTTCTAATCGGTTCTGGTCGTCGGGCTCGGAGTGGAGAAGAGTGCCAGCAAAGGATGTGGCGGCGTTCCTGACTTGAATGTCCGGATGAAATACTGAGATGAGCGTCAGATTATGGTGATAGGCCATTAGATTCGCATAATCTTCAGCTTTTATTAGTTTCCGATATTCGAGTCCGAGCCCGATAGCTAGTAAAGCATCGGCGATTCCCGGGCTAGCAAGAATCTTCGACTGCATTTCCCTGCCAAGAAATCGCCCGAGTATCGAGGCATGGTCCGGGAATATGTGCATCTCGGGCCAAGGGCTATCTGAGCCGAAGACGTCTCTCGAGAATAACCAGTAGGCGATAAGACACACGGACCCACCCGGGGAGTAGTGTATATCGTCCACCGAGGAGAAGTCGTCGAAAGCTGCAAGGGGATCTCTATGTACTGGACCTTCGGAAATGCTCTTTACGAACTGTTTTGAGCAATTACTTAGACCGAGATCACGTAGTAAGGCCTAAGCGATGTTAGCTCTAATAGAATATTGAGTGGGAGGTGGTGGGTAAACTTACCACAAGCTGTCCTACTACCGCATCCCGCTTTTGCAGTTCCTCATTTTCCCTAAACGCCTCAACCGTCGTCTTCTTACCTGGGACCTTCTTTTGCGGGTTGTATACCTCCAGAAGTCGGGGTGACCATAGCATGTCGTATGCATTCACATATCGCTGTAAGATACAGGTGACAAAAGCTTGCAGTAACTTCTGCTGCATGGCTTCCTCTTGCGGATCCTCCTGCTCAGCCTCGGGATCGGGCGCATTCTTAGAATCATCTCCGTCTTGATCGGGATTGGCCACATTAATGCTAGATTTCCTAGAGGGTAGAGGTGGCCTTTTGCGGCCCGAGAGCGAATAGACTAGATTTATTACGGAGGCAGTCATCTCTGGTGTGGGCTGATAGGCCTCGAACACCTTTACTAGCGATGGCCCCAGAAATCGAGAGGGGTACTTTGTCTTGATACGCTGATGAAGAATCGCGAGCATGCCAAGTAGAGTGATGAATTTCCCCGGTATTTTGGAGTCCGGGATGACTCCGGGTTCCTCCACATCGACGACTACTTCGTCATTCCAGGCGACAGTAAGACCCTCTAGCGCCTCCATAACCTTGATGACGACTTCGCGGGGGTTTCCTAAGCGGGCCACCGTCTCGAGACATGTTTCCGAGCCATCAATGTTCAATAGCATCTGTACCAGGTCCCAACCAATTTCTTGCGTGAGATCGGCATCTTGGAGGACTTCATTTAGGGCCGGTAAGATTTCCGGAGATGTAACATGGTATTGGAGGATGGTGAGATAAGTAAAGCGGTCTTCCTTAGACGCTTCTTGTATAGCTTTTATGGATTCCGACAATTCAGACATGTTAATGCAATATTTGGCAACATATATGAGGTGTACCGTCTCGTCGGAGTGGGATGGGTGATTATGGCAGGAGATAGACAAGGTGGGCTAGAAACTAGGCTTTGTGGCTTAATGTTGAACAAACTAGATGTTGTGGACTCGGGCTGGCTGGAAGCTGTTAGCCTGCCTTAGTTGTAATGCCAATGACGTGGGTGAGGGGACAGTGTAAACAGGTACAAATTACAGTGTATACAGTCCCATAAAAAACAGTATCTTGCTAGATTAGAAGTTGCTATGGTGGTTTATTAGTGCGTTTTCCCTTGCAGTAGCGCCCGCATCTCGGAATTTCTAGACATACAGATACAGTGTGAAAAAAGATGCAGCTATTAGTTCATGATGGTCTTCTACATATCAACTCCTACAAAGCAATTCTCCGATTCATACTGTTAAATCTGTCTCAACAAGACTCATAATATACATAGTCGGTGAGCCATTTGATGATCACTTACATCTCACTTAAAATCACAATTCATCCAAGATGCTCTTTGCCAGCAATCCAACGAGGATCGTGTTAATGGTATCGGTGCATCAATGCAAATATATACAAGGAAGTGTTCAAAGCCAACATGACACAAATTCTGATCAGAAGCCCAAATAAGAATAGCTGATCTCATACGCCTGATGATTCATGTTCCAGCAACCATTCGCAAATATTGAGATTCCTATCTCGAGCAAAACCATACGCTTGCAGGTTGTGAGGTCCCGACCTCATGATATACCTTAGGTACCGGGTCGTAATATCTACGGGTAATATCTACGGCCGTCGACTTTGTCAAAATTTAAACTATTATGATCTCAGAAATCATAAAAGTAGAGGCAGTAGTGCGCAGCCCCAGAGGAGGAGCGTCATGGCTCTAGTCGACGGAGCATCTGCTGTCGGTGCCGGGCCAGGTACTTGAGTCTGGCTTATTGCTGGCGTGGTAGTTGGTATCTCCCATGCAATACTGTAAGATTCGTCGCTCGGTGATCCGGCCGCGGTTATCAATGTCGTGAGGGTGGGGGGAACCTCTGCTGTCTGTAGGATACTGATATCGGAGAGGACGTGGACCGTGACAACCGGCTCGTTGAAATCTACAGAGCCTGCAGATGAAGACGTGCGCGCAGGTGGTGTAACAATGCTCCTCGACAAGGAGGTAGTAAAAGTAGGAATAAATTCGATTGTTGTCGACTCCGGCTCTGGCTTCGGCGGATCAATTACTTCCTTGGCGTTGGCCCATGTATCGACCAGACACTCAGACATCAACTGGTTATCGACTAGACGTCCATCCTTCTTCGACGGTGTCAAGCTTATAACTTCAGAGGTCTCGATATTGCCAGCACCCCAACCAACTATGCCGACGAAGACGTCCGAGTTGTTGTTGATAAGTGTATTTTGCGCACAGAACATCTTAAGACACTGTTCGATCTTATTAGAAACATGCAACGGCTTACAAAGACGACAGAACGAGAAACAATGTTGCTAAGACTTACAGAGGAATCCTGCGATGCCCCAGTCTGGCTGACAAGACCTTTCCTCCCCTTTTTCCTTAGGTACTTCGCAAGGTCTGTGAAGGCATCAGTGTTATCCGTTGAACACTGCGTGTTCGTCCCTGAGCTATCCTTGTCCAAATACGCATGGATATCCAAGAGCAGATTATCTGTTGATCCATCGGGGTTCGTGATATCTAGCAATTGCTCCGCACCGCCGTCACCGGTTAGCGTCGCCACGCCATCGGATTTTGACCCGGGAAGCAGTATCATCTGCTTCGTCGCACCCGCTTTTCTGATAGCCGTAACAACTTGCTGGCAAGTCTTCGCCCACGTATCGACATCGATGTCGTGCGGTTCGTTCATGAGCTCGAAGATAACCTTATCCTCGTCAGAGTACTTCTTCGCCAACTGTTCCCAGAGATTGGCGAACTGGTTATCCGTCGGTCCACCCTGTCCGATGACCTTGCCGTTCCATCGAGCGTAGTTATGGATATCGATCATGCAGTATGCGCCAGTAGCGAGACAGGCTTGCATCAATCGGTCGTATTTATCAAAATTACTGCTATCGAGCTTCCCCCCTAAATTGTCGTTGACGAGAAACTGCCATGATGTTGCTGAGTAGGCCCGTTAGTCTTATTCAAGTTAACACATGTTGAATGGTGGTCATACGCATTCTCAGTATGTTGATGGCGTCATCTCCGACAAAGTGCCACATCTGAGTAACTCCATCGTTCGGAAGCTTTGCAGAGTCTAAAGGACATGTTCCCTTTCATTATGTTAACCTGGAACCTCAATTATAGTTTCAATTATACTTACATCGTCCTTACAGCCGAATTCGCCTCCCGCAATAGAAACTCCCTTGAGATATCATGTTAGCATCGAGCGTCTTATAAGCTGTAAGTGGCTACGTACTAGAAACTGAACTTTTGCAAGGACAACACGCGCCGCGGCCAACAAGAAAATCGACTTCTTAAAGTACATTTCTTAATGAAAGCTTCTTACGAATTGAACATAAGGAGAGTCAAAAGGCGAAGAAGGAAAATGAAATGAACGAAGGTCCCGCCGTCGAATGAATGCAATGTGCGATTGTAGCAAGAATGAAAAAGCAAAAGAAAAAATATGACAGCCGAGAGAGTAGGACTAAAGGAAACGAATCAAGGAAACAAATCAAGGAAACAAATGCAGACGAAAATCCCGTCTTCTCGGCGAAGGATGTCCTGCATCACTGGGCATCAGTCATATAAAGGGAAGAATCCATCCATCAGGTCGCGTAATCGGGTTAGAGAGCCCATGATCGGTCACTTTCGCGGGTGGGATTTCAGGAGGTTTGAGCCTGCGGCGTTTCGCATATAGAGTAGACCTACTAAACCTCCAAAACTACCTGACCGAATAGGTTAACCTATCAAGGTAGGTATGTTGATTCCATATATTTATCTACAGCATAGCCTCGACGCCTTTTTCTTTTCTTTTTTGGTTGCGAGCTGTCGTGTTACCAACGAAAAGTCATATAACAAGTCTTATCTTATGATTCCTTAAGAGTTGCAGTTAACCGGTAGGTATTACGAAGTAGCAGCGATATCATTTTCCACTGTATTTTTCATCGACCCGACTCTTTACCTGGACGCTCAAATATGGACAAGTTTACAAAAATTTAATAGGCACAAATACGTACCCAACTTATTACGAGGTGGTTCACTTCGAGACCTTGAAACATTGAAACATGCTAAAAATTGCCAGCTTCCCAAGATATCCAACTGCGCCGCCCGGCTGCAGTAGACCCAATCAAGTAATACCCAGAGATCCGACGTTTTCCATCATCCATCCCATTCATGACCTAGATCCCAATCAACGATTAAACCGTTAACTAATACATACATTCGTAACTACACGCATACATGGTAGTTATTCCGAAAAGGGAAAAAGGAAGAAAAGAGTTAAGAATAAACCATATGCCATGTGTTTTCTATCCGAACGTCTAGTTCTAGTATTACAACCAGGCCATGTTGGTAAAAGTCTAGGTGGTGATAACACGTAAAGCAATCAAGAAAACTACAAGCTAATAATAAACCCATAAAAAAGGAAATCCATTAATCCTCCCACTCCTCGTCGTATTGATCGATCAACCGGTTTTCGTCCTCACGGTTACTTCGACCCCTTCCGGATGGTGATCCCGATACGTAGTGGTATCCTCTCCGATTCGGGAGGAGCCGAGAGCAAGATGAGGTGACCATAACGAATAAATCCTATGTTTAGCAGTAGCAGTTAGCTCCAAGTTCTGTTTTATATCTTCTCATCGTAATCGTGATCATAGAATTGGGCAAGCACTTACGCATATGAAACTCCAGACGCTGGCCCAGAGCGAGTAGTTAGGCAGTTGTTTCCAGCCTCGGGCGTGGGCTACCGTGCGCTGGTAGAATATACCGCCGAGTAGGTAGACCAGGACGGCGATGACGAAAATAATTAGGAACACGGAGCCTGGCCCCACGCTTCCCGGCTTGTGCGGCTCCACGCCCGCGCATGCGTGCTGTGACTTGACCTTGAATACGTATGAACATTCTTCCGGATCTGTCGCGATGAAGGAGACTTGAGCTGCGCCCGCGCCGGCGTCCCTGTCGCAACTGAAGAATATGGTAGTCGACTTTCTCCGCTTCGGCTCGTTCGTCTCTTTGGATAATTTTCGGGTGTTAGTCGCGACAGCTGTCTTCGTAGGCGTCGGCGTATCTTCGCGCTCGAAATCGGATCCCTTATGAGCCGCGCCTTCGTGGACAGAGGAACTCCTACGTTCGAGACCCGCTCCCCTCTTCACGCTCTTTCCGCACGGCGACCCTCCCGTGTATTGTAGAACTAGCTCCTTGCCTCTCGATATCAGAGCGCCGGACTGTAGACCCAGACTATATATGTCGCCCTTGGAGGTATAGTACGCGCTGACATTCTTCCACTGACTCGGCTCTACGCCGACCACTTCGTCAACGGGCTCTACCACGGCAGCGCAGATATTCAAGGTGAAGTTGAACCCGTAGTCGTAGCCTTTGGCATGGTAGTCCACTAGCGGGGCGCCGTTACTATGCGCGGGCTTAGACCCATCGGGATTCTTCTTGAGGGCTATGTCGGGCCGCAAATCGAAGAAGGCGCCTGACGTTGATGACGCGGTGCATGCTGTTGAAGTTGTCGTCTTGTCGGCATCGGCGGCAAGTGAGGTGGAAGTGAGGCAGAGGAGGGAGAGTAATGTCGGACATATATATGTCGAGCCTGAAGAGAAGCGCATGGTTGCGAGATAGGCTATGGCTAAAGAATGGAGCACGGATTTCAGTCGGGAAAATGCGCTGGATGCGCTACGTAGATGTCGAAAAGAACCTAGGCATAAACTCTTGTATGTCGAGGCTTCCACTACAAAAATAGTGGTTTCGATGGGGGTGTTGGTCCAATTGTTCGTTTATTCATGAAGTTCGTGTCTTTTCCCTTACAAAGTTGTTCCAAACATTTATTAAAGATTCAATAAGCCAAGTTGTCGATTTGCCGTTCAAGCCGCTATTACCTATTCTTAGCGCACTTCGACATCCATAGACCCCTGAATGGAAGATCCTAGAGATGGGTACGTATGTACTGCATTTGTACACGTTTTAGCTGCCGCTACTGGAGATACTCTTTTATCATTGGTTATTCGATAGTGGAACTTTAATATTCTGCTCACCTTGATTGGCCAAAACGACATTGAAACGATGTACCTAGTAGTGTAGTTCAACATATGTACCTAAGGTTACATAAGATTTACTGGCTGACGTCTCCACATCAGCTTGGGGAAGTCGAGAGGTACATACATACATACATACACTAGTAACAAAGTCAAAAATGGTGTCACTCGGAAGCCAACATTTCCGGTGAGCTCTCCACGTCGGGAGCTGGTCACATTTCACAACCAAATCAGCACCGCCTCGAATAAGACGCGCGTTGAGGATCGAGACGAGTCGAAGAGGGCTAGGCAGGAAATTCTTGGATTATTAAAAGAGCCTTCAAGCGCTCCTCGAACAACAACACTAACGAGTTCTCCCTTCCAAATAATATTCTTGTCTTTTGGATCGCGACACAACTTTAAACATGTCGCCTAAGTCAAAGCAACCTCAGCCAGCGCATAGCTCGCATGGCTATGAGTTTGGCGGACCGTAAGTGTTTATTCTAAAGATCCAATTCGAAGTTGGTAGAACTAATGATATATAACCGTTTAGATTTGGTACCGCTGCCATTACCTTCGGCCTCCCCGTTCTCTGCTATGTTTTCGCCTTTGGATGTAACGATATTTCTGGTTGTCCCGCACCGTCGCTTTTAAGTCCAAAGACTTTATCCATCGAGCAATTGAAGGCTGAGGTGGGATGGCCTGAGAACGGTATCTTAGGTCTGGCTAGCTGGAAAGCTACCGGCTGGACTTTAGCATACTACTTCTTCAGCGCTCTTCTATATCGCATTCTCCCTGCTACCGAAGTTGAGGGTACGGAATTGTCGTCCGGAGGAAGGCTGAAGTATAGGTTCAACTGTGAGTGTTCTCTGGTTTGGAAGATCTTCGTGGGATAGAGCTAGCTAACACAGTTTATTAAAGCTTTCTCCTCGCACATGTTTACCCTCTCTCTCTGCCTTGCTGGTACTATTGCGCAGGGGGCCGAGTTTCCCGTATGGACCTTCATTGCCGACAACTACGTACAGATTCTGACCGCCAACATCCTCATTGCTTACTCACTTGCAACGTTTGTCTACGTCCGTAGCTTTTCTGTGAAGCCAGGTAACCCTCAGCTTCGACAGCTAGCCGAGGGCGGCTGCTCTGGTAACCTGATATACGATTTCTATATAGGACGGGAGCTCAACCCTCGTGTTACCCTTCCAATCATCGGCGAGATTGATATCAAGGAGTGGATGGAGCTACGCCCCGGCATGCTTGGCTGGATCATTTTAAACTGTGCTTTCATCTCCAAGCAGTACCGCACCTTCGGCTACGTGACTGACAGCATTGTCTTCATCGCTATCGTACAGACCGTCTACTGTTTGGATGCTGTGTATATGGAACCCGCTATTCTTACGACCATTGATATTATCAACGACGGTTTCGGCTTCATGTTGTCCTTCGGAGATCTCGTCTGGGTCCCCTTCATATATAGCCAGCAAACACGATACCTATCTACGCACCCAGTGACCCTTGGTTGGCTAGGTACTACAGGGGTTTCCATTCTCCTAATTGCGGGCTTCGGTATCTTCCGGTTAAGCAACCTCCAAAAGAACATCTTCCGCACTAACCCTAGCGACCCGCGTGTTGCGCATATCAAGTACATCGAGACCAAGACGGGTTCGCGACTGATGACATCAGGCTGGTGGGGTGTCGCAAGACACATCAATTATTTCGGTGACTGGCTGCAGTCGTGGCCGTATGCTTTGCCCACTGGTTTTGCCGGATACGTCGTCCTGTCAGCTGGCAGCAATGTTGAAGGCGCTATCAAGACACTCGACGGAAGGGAAATAGTACAAGGCCCAGCCAAGTACTGGGGTATGCTTTTCACTTACTTCTACGTTGTTTACTTTGCCGTCCTTCTAGTTCATCGCGACGGCCGAGACGACGAGAAGTGTGCGAAGAAGTACGGAGAGGACTGGGAGAAGTACAAGAGCATTGTGAAGTACAAGATTGTGCCAGGTATCTACTAGGTCTATCTAAGTATGTTAAAGGAGGTGAGGATGTACATACAGGTAGGTAGATAGTCCAGATACGGTGGCAGGGTTACGGAACCTAAGGGGTAGTTGAAAATGAAAAAAAAGGGGAGTAATAGGGGGAAATATGCAATGTATATTGTTCTCTCAGCTTAAGTCCTGCCGTCCTTAGGTAGTTGCCTACCCAGGTACATCATGTAAGTGATGTTGGAATAAATTATTGGAATAAATTATATTAGGTACCCGAAACCGCAATGAAATACCTACACGTAATGGATATCCGGGCACTGGGTACTTACATGTATGTATCTCCCCATGGCCCAAGTTGTGGATCACTTCATGTTATGTAGGAAACAACGATGTTGATGCCTTCCATCGCAACTCTTCAAATATATCAAGGAAGTAACGACGGCATCTGCCTCCCGTCATTACGAATTAATCAGTAGCCAATAGTCAGCAGTGGCGACTCGGCCTTTTTGCTTCAAAACCTAATAACATTCTTCTTCTCATCGGTCACCAATCCTTTTCAACCACCCAACAACCGCGTTAACGTCGCCAACAGTAGAAGTTGCCCACCCGTATACGTATTTACGCAGAATACACATACGTTCCTTGATATTTCTCGGGTGTCAACTATTGTTACAGAATTGGGCTTGAACCTATTTAACGAATAGCTAACAAGTACTAATCACTCAAATCAGTCGAGTTATCATGGCGAACGCAAATCATAAGCGTGCTCGTCCCTTCACGGCCCACCCCTACGACGAGCCACCCAAGAGACCAAGACCAAGACCTGCGTCCCCTTTCTATACATACCAACAACCTCCTCCCGACGATTTCTTTACTAGACCTGCCCTTGGTAGAGGTGCACCTGATCACGGCTTCTATCCTGACCACTTTAGCCCGCAGTTGTCTGAGCCCTGGGGCCCAACTAACGCAACTTCCGCACAACCTTTCGACCATTCCGAATATCTGTCCAATCCTCAACGACAACATTTCAGGGAGAGACACTATGATTTCCATCCGCCTCCGGCCTCCCGTACTGGCCACCGGCTTAGATCAAGCACAATGCCTTCAAGACCCAGGGAACCTGTGCCCAATTTCCAAGACTCTTTTCAACCCCAGAATTCCCCACGGGCCCCGGACCCTCTCCATGCCCGTGTTGCGGAACTCGAAGCGATTGTCAGATCACTGAATAGATCATATAATGATTTCAAGTTGCCCAGAGCCACCGTAATTCGCGACTTGCGTCGAGATATAGATAATCTATCAATACTCGAAGGTCAAACCAATGGGTTGGAGGCACGTGTGCACAACATGTCGCGTGCTCTCCACGATCTACAGGCTTTCACCGAAGCAGACAACGTTAATGACAACGTTAATGATAAATCTACCGAACCCAAAATCTACCAGGATGCAGCAGCCCAGGCGCGAGCACAGACGCTAGAGCTAAATAAAGCAATTGATAACGGCGGCGATGATAGTGGCGATGACGTTATCTTCCTAGGGGAACGGCCCCTTCAAGATGGTGCTTTTGATATTCACGATAACGATAGCAATCGTGAGAGTTACCAGCTGGAGGCCATTACCCGTGACAATTTCGTGGCTTATCTTAAGAGCCTCGACTTTCGTGCACCGTACGGGATGGAAGCGTTTGTCAGTACGCCAGTTACGGCGAGAGACTATCGTCTATGTACGCTGAACGACGGCACGGTATACTTTGTACGTCTAGGAACCAGCGAGAAAGGATGGTGGAACACTGAGTATGAGCCTTATGAGCGAGCGCCCCTAATGCTACCACGATACAAACGTGGACACCTCGATGGCGACCAACATTTAGATGCGAGGCGATTACCTTCACTGTTACACTATCGCAGCAACGTCTGTGAAGTCGAGTACCCTGTTTCGAATACCACCTTCGCTCCTCCGCTCCGCTATACATTACCTCTAGGAGAGATCCACGTATACCAACCGAGAGTCGACAAGGCACCACCCAACCTCATTGGTACAAATTTCTTCTTGCTTATGGATATCACCAACTCCAAGAAGTCATTATGGATCGTATATGCATACGAATACCCTTTCAATAAAAGCAGCGACCCTAGTCGCCCTGAGGATACGATTGAAACAGGAAAGTATGAATTGAACCGAAATTCGCCTCTCTGTGCAACTTTCGGTCTTTTCGATGTGGCATGCATAGCAAATAGTCTAGATGACTTCGTCAACTTAACCAAGGGAGGCATGTCAAACCTTCGTGGGTACCAGCAGACCATGTGCCCTCAACTCGATCCCGTTAAAGTCCACCAAATGCTCCGCTCGACTGCGTGTATTGCACAGCCCGTGTTCACAGAACCGAACCTAGACAGCTTAACTCATGCAATTAATCGAGGGTGGAATAAATAGGAGCTTTGTTTCCATTGTATTTTCAAAATTCTTTTCGGCGACATCACCTGAGATACCGGTAGTTTTACTCGATTTGTTTTACACAATACCGATCAGAGTCTCGATCGTCTATCTTCATATTAGCAAAAGGATTGCGAGGTGTCAGGAGTTTTTGATGAACCAAGAAAAAAATGGAGGGGAGGCCGGAGGAAATGAGATTATATCTACATTGATGCCATCCTAGACGAATTTACCACGGGATACGGTCCGAGTGTTGGATGAACTTGACAGGTTGTTAGAACGGCGCCATTATGCATATCCTGCAAGTTACACTTCGGCTTAGCTACTATTTTGCCCTCGCATGACTGTTCAAGTTATTCTGCTTGCAAGGGCTTATTAGGTAGAGCTGCCTTATCAATTAACGCGTTGTTTCTTAAGAATCTTGTAAAATATTCCCTGAGTGAATTCGGGCACAGCTTGCTTTACCTAGGTAGGTACCTAATAAACATCAGCTTCCGCGATATTCATGCCTATTTACTAAGTATATCAAAATACGCACGAGACGTAGTCAATCCGACAAGAGGCCAGTATCGTAATTATAGCTAGGTGATTTCTTGCTACCACGCTTAAAGCCCTGTCTGGAGGTGGGTAAAGTGACATTATATTCTTCAAATCTGTGGAGTATTTCCCCTTTACACCTTATAAACCTACCGAAAAAGGAGTTCTTCCAATGTACAGCAACACTGTTATTACCGAGGCACGAGGCGAGACGAAGGATAGTAAGGATAAGTCCTGGGATATTTCCTTTGGAAAATTGAATCTTTGATAAAGTAAACAAGGAAAACTCTGAATTGCCATCCTCATGTCCAAACATATAGGATGATCTATATAAGGATTTTTACACCAAGTAGCAGAACATATGAAGATTAACCGCGCCGACGCAACGAAGGCAGACGCCTAAACCAAATCCCAAACAGACTTAAATATACACGACGTAGGCTTAGCCTCATTCAGACCATCTGTACCCCGTCGTCGAATCCTACAGTTCCCCTTTGTTTCATTTCGTTATGCATTGTCACATATCACCACCTCATTTACTGTAAGTACTTTAGAATCTCCTCCCGCTCGTTGACAGGCATCACGTGCAGCATATCCTTCAAACCCTTAAGAGCTGAGGTCTTATCTGATCGAAGCAAATCGGCTAATCCGTGCGCAACGGCATCCGACTTGATTTGCTCGATCTTGGTTTCAATTGTCTCAGCGTTCTCCTCGTACCATGTCACTACATCTTTGTCGTTGTGTTCGAAGTCGGGGACCCCAGACCAAGCTGCAAGCAGGCGAAGGTTGTGCTGACGGTTCTCAGTAGCAGCAGCGCTGTTCGAGTCGATAACCTTCGAAGATGAGGCACCAGCCATGCTCTTGAGAATGTGTTCTTCGTTGAGACGTCTACGGACACGCCAGTAGAAGAAGCGGCGAGTGTTCTTCCATTCTAAGACCTCGCGAATAGTACCCTTGGCCTTCATGCGGCCAGCGCGGTCGTGCAAGTCTGCAAACTGCAGGCCGATCTGCGCATAGATAGGTAGTAGTTGCTTCTCGCGCTCTATCATCCTTTCTTTAAGCTCCACATGCTCCTCCTTGGACAAGGTGTTGTCAGCAATCTGCTTCTTAAGCGAGGCGTATAAGGGGTCTAAGCGAGACATAGTCTCTAGCTGCTTTTCTTTCTTGTACTTAATACCAATGATACCCTCCGGCTCTAGGACACCGGCGCGGGATTCGGCATCAGCATACATCTCCATGACGACAGGATTAATGGTAGGGTCGACCACAACCCAGGAGCCACCACGCAACTCGCCAAAGGGCGGGATATAAACGAAGATAGGTTGCTCAAACTTGACGAGAGCGTCGACAATGTACGAACCATATTTCAAAACTTCGTTATACATGTCTCGCTGACCACCGGAGAAACCTCGCCAGTTGGCAAGGATCATAAGGGGGAGCTGTTCGCCGTAGTTGAAGTCGTTGATGGCCTGAGCGGTCTTGAATGCAGAGTTCGGGTACCAAACACCGCCAGCTTCATTGCTGACTTGCTCAACGGAGTCGGGGTTCGCAGGATCAGCGGGGGTAATATTTTCAACGGTTCGAGTCTCCACAGCAATAACACCCATCGGGATACCGCCAAGACGAGCACGGCCAACAACAACGGTGCGGGCCCAGCCACCAAGAGTCTCAACGAAGGAGTCCTTGTCAAAGAGACCTGGTTGGAATCCGTCTTCGTCTTGCTTTCCGCCAATGAGCCATCTAACGTCGTGCGACTGCTTGTTAGGAGGGGTATATATCACCTCACGATCCCAAGTGTCGAGGCTAGGCATAATCGGCACAGGCAAATTGCGCCGAGCAGGAACGAAAGAAAGCCACTCGACAATCTTGCATACACCGGCAAAATCATCATTGGCAGTTAAGTGAGACACACCATTCCGGTACATGATCTGGGTACCACCGAGCTGTAGGTTAGAGGTGTAAACTTCGCGGCCAAGCAAGTTGTTAAGGGCCTGAGCACCAGTTAGAATAATGGGCTGACCCTCAATTTGAACGGCACGCTGGCCAAGGCGGACGAGGTATGCGCCAATACCTATAGAACATTAGCAATTAATCTCGATGGATTGGACAAACGGTTAAGCTTACCGATAGACCGGCATGTGATGAGGGTAACTGTGAAGATGTCGTTGTATGCACGACTTGTAGCACCAGCAATAAGACCTGAGCCCCTCAAGCACTCAACACCAAGTCCGTCCTCAGCACCCACAATGGCCACAATCTTGTGGCGCTTCTCGCCATTTTCAGTGATCTCCTCAGTAATGACATCCCGCTTAGCACCGTCTTCAAACCGCTTCTTAGCATCCGCATCTAGATAGAGGTACTTGAAGCCCGATTCTTGCCTCTCTGGATCTTTCCAAGCTACCTTGAAATGAGGGATAAGCTCCTCAGCAAGGCCAAGTCGCGCACCAGAGTTGGCAGAGAGATAGATTCGCGGAATGCCGAGGCTGCGAGCCAATTCCGTGCACTTGTTGAAGAAATGGTCTTCTTTGGGGCCAAAAGATCCAATCTTATAAGTGATATCGTTGGCAACGACAATGAACTTCCGGCCCTCAGGGTACTCAGGAGTACGAGCATTAATGAGCCATCCAACCATACCACACGAGTTGGTGCCAGGCTCACGAGAAATCTCAATCAACCTGTCACGGTCGTCGAGTACGAGCTCGCTGTAATCAATGCACTCTCCCTGGGCAGGCTTTTTGTCACTCATTGACGGTAGCGCTTTGGTAGTCCTCGTCCAGGTGTTCTCAACAGCTTGGCGGAAAAGCTCGGGGAAATCATATACATACTGGGTACCCATCAAATGCGCCCTGTAACGCTTAGGCTGGAGCCAATTCTTGGTAGGGTATGGCGTGCAGACAGGCAGCAAGTGCATCGATCCAATCCTAGTTGTGCCGCCGATTGAATAGAAGACCATTTCACCCTTATCCGACTTCCGCTCAGCGTAGAGCTCAATCTGGATAATATATCCAGAAGTGTTGGTAATGATAACACGCAGAGGATAAGGCATTCCCGTAGTCGTATCTGTGCAGATAATACGAATCTCAACCTGAGAGACACGAAGACGCCAAGCGCGAGGGCCAAACCGGTCCAAGAAACCCTGAAGAGACTGCTCGACCTCCTCAGGCTTGAGCTGGAAAACAGGAGTAAAGTTCAGGAACATGTGGTTCAAGTCGGAGTTATTGTTGCCGATGATCTCAAGGGCATCGAAAATGTCATTGATAACTCGGTCGGCTTCAGAAACAAGATACTCGGCTGTGGGTATATCATCCCGAAGGCGGCCTGGTCGAATGACAGCGCGGGTGAAGTATCGCTTATCAGTGTCAACCCCCTTACCTATACCTTCGTACACATGGATATTCTTGTTCTCCGTGAAGACAGGAGAGAGCTTGAATTTGGCTAGTCGTGCAAGCTCCAACTGGAAGGCTAGAGCGGGCTCAACATGACGGATACTATTATCTTCACGGAATTCGGGTGCACGGAAAGTGTAGTAGCCTGGGTACGAGCCATCGTTGTGGCCGCAAACAAAGGTGACACGACGAACTCGGTGGTTGACAAGATCATTCTTCAATGAGTCGACTATAGGGTGGATACGTCCGAGGATATCTTCGTCTTCGTAGGACTCTACGTCGCGGATTACAACGTTGACAACGTTGGTCAGTTCCTCTTCGAGAGGCTTTTGCGCAAAGGATTTACGCTTGCCCGTGAGGTCAGGAATAAGCCCAGGGCGCTTCCTGGTTGGTAAAACCTCCAAAGCCTTCTGGAGCATCTCATCGGCATCATCGAGATATCGACAAGGAACGACAACTCCCTTACGGGTAGGCTCTTCCTCGGTACGGCGGTTGAGATACGACATGTCACTAACTGAGCTTATTCGGCCGAAGGTACCAGTTTCAGAGGTTGGGGTGCCAGGAACAGAAGGAATAGCCGACTGGAGAGGAACCGAGAACTCAGTCTGTCCGATTTTACGGAAAGAGAAGTCCCAAGACAAGAAGAGAGGAGCTGCATCAGACTCGTCCTCATGATACTCCAATTTCATCAAGTTGTACGCACGGTATGCTCGGCGGACGTACACCTCGAGAGCAGCGACATTAACCCACGGATCCTCGTGAGCAAAAAAGGACGCCAACACGTCGAAAACAGTGTACTTAGAATCCACAACTTCCTTGATAATATCAAGGTTAGGCTCCCTGTGGTCCCAGCCAGTTTCACCGTAATTGTTTTCAACCACCGATGAGCGGAGGATGTGTTCCATCTGTGCAGTTCGTTCTTCGAGAGACGGTAGCGCACATTGAATGAGAATTTCTCGAGCCTTCAAAGATACTTTAGCTGTCTGGCGCGACTCGAGTTCTGTAAGCCTGCGTAGAACTGGTCGTAGGTACTTGCCGACGTTGCCGACGTTGGGCTTGTTAGGACGGTACTCCTCAAGAATTGCCAAGACCAAATGATTCTTAGAGCCGACACGGCTGTGAGATAGGACGATGCCGATGACCTTCATATAGTCTTCTCTGTTCTCTTCACGAAGTTTCAATATGACTTCTTCGTCCTGGCTTCGACGACCCGAGAAACGTCCTTCGATTTCAGCGTAAATTTGTAAGAGGCCTGCGATGGCATTCAGCTCGCGCACCTTTGCACCATCAGCATACTCGTCGAGAACTTCAAGAAGAGGAGCAAGAGTTGTTCGCAGTGCGTCAGCCTCGCTGGATGAAGTGTTGTCATCCAAAAATTTCGAAAAGGTCCTGGCCAGTGCCTTAGCAGGGAATTCTGAAGCTCGAGTCTTAGCACGCTCAACAACTTGCGTCAATTGAGTGTCAAGCTTGTGTGGCATTCGAGAGTGGAGAGCGGAATGGTGAGAAGCCCACTCGCTATACGGAAGCTCTGGACTCCGCAATACTTCAATCATCTCTCTCAATGTCTGTTGCATGATT